TTACTGTAGCTGCTTGGCACAGCATGTTTGATATCTGATTCCTGCTATGACTGACAGGCGGCACACGCCAGGAAATCCTGATGCTAACTGGCAGTGGTGCCGTGATGCCTGCCTCAATGCCACCAGCGGCTTGGCGAGCACGGGCCAGACAGTCACGAGGGCGGTTGACGTAGGTTGATGTTGGCCGTAGCTGCTGTAGCTTGCATGAATATATTGCGTCTTTTTACGACAGGCTGGAGAGCACAGTGCAATGGCCTGTGGCCCAGATGCTATGCTATGATAGCCTTTCAGTTGCTGTCCGTGCCCAAAGTGTTTTCAGGCTTTGCCATGGACAGCATGCCTGCTTCTCTGCTACATGGGCAGATGATGGAGGCTGTAGAAAGCAGGGCGGAACTTCACATTGTCGTGGCTGTTGGGCAGCGAGCCTTTGAAAATTTCATATCACGATGCTGCCTGTGCCTCGGCTTTGTCACCACTGGCTCAGTCTGGCAGACTGCCATACATTTGCCCCGGGCAGGCGGACCATACATGTGCACTGTTTGGGCCTGCGGAGTTCTCGACTCTTGTCCAAAACGTCTTCGTAAGTCGCTGCACACCTGCCTGTTTCATTCAGTTGCGAGCAGCGGATGCACGTGTTTATGTTCCGATAGCCAAGGATGCCTGCAGGTTGGACAAGGCCGTGGAAAAAGACGCTCCGTCGTTTGCCATCACATATTTGTAGCTTAGGTTATCCTCGAATCCGCTGTTGAGGAATTTTCTGCAGGCAAAAACTACAGTACTTCTTGAACCCTAACTTTGCTGCTCATTCTGGTTTCGCTGATCTGGTTCGGTCCACGGTAGGGCAAATTTGAACTCACAGGCCTGCGGTTTGACTGGATTGTCAACGATACCCCAACTGTGAGCTTCATGGCTTCTAAGCTGCTGGCATGCAAGCCTAGCCTGCGCTGCTGAGACTCCGAGAAGCTTGCTACATGCAGAGCACTGGGAGATTTATGCCTCGTAAAGTGGACGCTGAGTACTGTACTTGATGCCGAACCTGTCCAGGTCAGATTAACTGCAGATTTGCGCTTGCTGTCACAACACGGTCGTGCTAAAGAAAGGGGGCCCTGTTGAGTGCCAAAAGTTCTTCAATGGCCTGAACATGTGCCAGGCTGCCCACTCACTTGAATCGCACCCTCGGCATCCCCGGGATGAATCGTGGCTTCTTGCCTGAAAAAGTGGTGTGCTCCATGTAGGCATCTAGTGTCCGCCCACAAGAGCCCAGGCTCATGCTTCGTTCGCAAGCTGCCATTGCGGGCAAACAGGTGCAGCTAGAAATCTAGCCTCCGTACTCTGTGCTGATAATAGATATGGTCATCGTGGGCAACTTGTTGTAAGACATGTGACTGCACGAGCCACTTTTCAGAATGTTACATGCCCGGCTACATACTACTGTACATGACATGTATCTACATGTCATACATTCGGTGTTCCGCTGGGCAGGAAGCCAATGGATGTTCCCGGGAGCCTTCGAGCGTTTACTGACCGGATGAATTGCGCAGGCACACCGAGATAGTTGTGTCTTGAGCCTGAAGCTGTCTTGAGTTTTTCGTGTGCATCAGCTGGAAGGTTGCTTCACCAGAGGAATCTCGTCATACTACTTGGAGTCGCTTGTCTCCAGCAAAAGGCGCCGGATACCGACTTCAAGGAAACTAGACTAAGCAGCTTCTCATGTTGACAGATGCTGGTTAACCACCGAAAGCGGGCAGTAACAATTTGAAACGCAAGGGGAACAAGAGGGCAATGGAGGGTCTATTCCTTGGGAATGAACTCGTGGGAGTATAAGGGGGATGCATTGTATTCAATGTATTCCCTGAAGCGCGGGCTGTAGAAACAGGATGTACTTGTGGGCGTCAGCGAGGAGGAGCAGTAGGACTAGTCAAACTAGTCAGTGTGGAAGGCTATTTTAGCGGTTCACATCGCGACCAAACTGTTTGGAAAGAGAAGCCAGTTTCTCTCCACAGCTCTCACCTTCTGCGGAAATTGAGTTGGCCATGAAGACGTACTCCAGGATGCAAAACCTAAACACTCCAAAACTCTAAACCTAAACACGCTAAGCAACCCCAAACCCTAAACGCACAGGACACAATCTGAACCCGCAACACCTTGAAGCCTAAACTTACAACCCAATCCCTAAACCCTTCACAACGCCAAACCTCTAAACCCTGCAACCACTCCAAACCCTGAACAACTCCAAACGGTAAAAGCACCAACAAAGACTTGCTCGAAACAAGCCCGAACTCTAACACCCCTGAGAAACCAAACCGTTTGCCAAAGACCTAAGTGGCCTAAACAATCCCCTGACATTGCCAAAGCCTAAAACATCCTGAACAAATCCAAACCCTGGACACGAACAGCACACCACACACAGTCCCAACCAAGAACTCAACAGTGAACCCAGCGAAACCTAAGCAATCCCAAACAACTCCGAAGCACCCCAACCCGAAAGCCCCAAGCAGCGATCCCTAAACAGCTCCAAAAAAAGCTTCAAAGAGTAAACTCTAGACAACTGCAAATCCCTAAATCCCCTGAATCTTAAATCACACGAAGGACCCCTGAACAGCCCCCAAACCCCAAATTCACCACCGCCAAAACTGCCCCAAACCGTGAGCGGTCGCAAACAAACCCAGACCCCAAGCAACCTCAATGAGCAAGCTCTGCACAGCAACCCCAAATCCCAAACAACCACAGACCTTACACTCTTGACAGCAGCAAACTCTATAGCCCTTGAACCTGTTCACAACCACGACCAAGGCCACAGCCGAAACGACCGCAAGCAGCAAATCCAAAACCTAAAACAAATCTAAACAGCTCCAAACAAACCCACAAACCCTGAACAAAGTCAAAGAGTAAGCCCAAAGCAACCCCAACCCCCCAAACCATAAACAACACCAAGCCGTAAACTACCCCAAGCCTTGAAACTCAGAAACTTTGAGCCCTCAGCAACCTCAAACGAACCCACACCCGAAACAACCCCAAACAACAAACCCTCTATAGACATCCCCAATCCCGAAACTGCCAACCAATTCATTCCCCAAACAACGCCAGCATACTTAAACCCGAAACAACGCCACACTCATGTTGATGCATGCTGCGCAGGTGTGCTTGGACCGTGCTTCCCGCGGGAAGTAGCACTAGTGCTGGTATGCAGTAGGAGGTCATAGTCCTACCGCGACTGCCAACAGTCCAAGACTACGACGCTCTGTCTGTCAGACTCTCCAAGGACTGCAATTTTCCTTCTTGCTAGCTTTGCGATCCCTTCTCCCGCCCTTATAGTACCGATGTCAATCGCCTCCATCATTAAAGATATGACTCACTGCACCACATTTTTCAAAGAGCCAACCGTCCATCAAAGACTCCAGTACACTGCCCTGCCAAACCTTTACAAGTGAAAGCCACCCGCCCATGGGATCAACCAGCCATCGCGAGAAGGCAGTTCATGTTAAGCTTTGCCTCCTCCAAGGTTCCCGAACCTGGTGAACTTCATCACCCAGCTCATAGGATTGAGAGCAGAATTCACCAGGTTTGAAGTTGCTGAAAGATTCACTTCTTGAGATGTATGATCATGTGCACAAGCTTCAGGAGTCATCGCCTTTATTCGCATGGTGAGAAAGGCCCATGAAATGGCTCCAATGGCAGTGGCCTTCTCTGGCAAGCCGGAGATCGTGCTGGCTGCTCTGGCAGCACAGCTTGGGCTGTCAGTTCGGCAAACTTTTAGGTGGGAAGAGGTACTCTTGGCTTTCTCAGCTGAAGTTCAGTTTTTCCTGGAACTCAAGTTCCCCTTTTGCAGTGAGCTGTTCATAAATGGAACGTCGCTCGAACCCAGGGCATTGCACGTGACCCGGCGAATCCTCAAGGACAGCAGCCATACTGTTCCTCTGCCATGTACTAAGATGCCTAGCAAGCTGAACTTCTATTAGCACTAGATCAACCTGTGCTTGGCAAGCCCCCGCCAGGATTTGACGAACGCGAGGCGGCAACCTGGCTACCACTGAGTCGGTATTCCACAAAAGGCCAAACAAGCAGGTTTTGAAGACCGAAAGGATGCTTGACATCGAAGTGGTAAGGCATACCTTCATTTCATCAGAAGCTGCTGGGTCCCTGCCTGAGAAGTCAGCCGAATCAAGCTTTGTGCGTGCTGAAGGGATGTACATGTACTGCTATGGAAGATTGTGCAACGCATACTTGCGCTGGATTTTTGTGAGTTTTGTTTTTGGACTGTGTTTTACACAGCTCAAGGACGTGCATTCTCGGTCACGGCAACGAGATCACGCTGCAAAGGACTTTTGGGAAGGCGAAGACAGCCAGGCGGGCCTCGGTAGGACACGATCGGCTTGTGTTGCATGGGTGCATTTCAAGCCGTCTACTCATGTACAGGAAGCTTCTTCCACATTTTCATCCAAGTCCTTTTCAGGGCTTGTGCATCGAGCTCCTTGGACCAAGATCATTGGAAAGAAAACCTATCCACCCAGCGGTGTTTGGTCAATAAGTTGCCATCACATGAGGTTAGGTACTTTCGGTGGCAAGCTATCACAGGCTTTGCTGTATTTGTGTGCAGCAATTACTGCCTCAGGATAACCTCAGCGTGGAGTTGCTCAGCCAGAATTGGTGTTTAGCACTGTTGGCCATCAATTTGACATTTCGAGAAAAGCTGTTGCAGCACGCTCACAGCATGTCGTGTTTTGCAGCACCATCACCTGTGCCTGGCCTCACTTGATTTCACGAACCGCGGGAGCTTCCAGAGGTAGAGAAGGTCTGGGTTTGGGGCAATACATAGAGTGGCAGGAGTGGCCCATGCTTAGGCACAAATTGTGCTGTCCAAATGCAAGCCTGTCCCAAAGCCCGGAACATGCACGAAAGGCGGAAATTGGAAAAAAAGGGACTCCCTGCTCACATTATTGGCTGTCATGCAGACGTCGATATTGTGAGCGGGCGCAATGCTAAGCCTCGTTATCAGTCAGGCCCGTGGAATGCGAAGACTACGACACTTACGACTTGGTGGACAGCACTCGGCAACACTGCCACCTATTCTGAAGTTGGTTAGCAACAGGCATGAGGCATTGTCAGAGAAACAGTCCCAAACTCAGGTTATGTAGACCGGCGTTTACTTGGAATGGGACCTGACGAGAAGGTCGCAGCTGTTTGGAATGAACCTGTCCTCACATTCGGTACAGACTTTGCAGATTACAGCCAGCCATGTCGAAACCGTATGGCTCTGCAGCTCATCGTTGTTGGGGTCTAAGGAGACACAGCGTCACAGCCTGTGGAGCTTCCTGGTGTTTGCCATTCGCCTAAATGATGATATGATGGAACATCAGACTTTTCACCACATCTCATGAGAATATGGTGTCCAACGCCAAGGCTATTGTATATGTTCTTATGCTCGCATTGCTGGAATGGCTGCTTCCTGCATCCTGGATGCAGAAAGTGCGCAGCTTCAGACAGGAAACTGCAATTTGCATCTTGCCAAGTGGTTTCTTTGGTTTTCTTTGTAAGTCAAAGCTCTATAGCTTTGTTAATCAACATCTGGCACATCCAAGGACGTCATGCACGCTAAGGCCGTAAGGCTGGGGATGCTTGAAACCTGCCGACTCTTATGGTAAGAGCTACTGTAGGGCATGCAGTCTGCCCACTACGATCTCCCCTGACTTAGCTGAAGCCCTCTATATATATATATACATTTATATTGAGCGCGATGACAGTGGTACTCTCGAACTTGCCCGCGCAGAAGCATTGCAAGAGCCAGCCCCCTGGTAGGACTGTGTTGTACATTCTCGTGCCTTGGCGCATTTTTATGAAAGCACAAGCGTTTGGAAATCGATGCAAGAGTACAGACCCAAGGTTCCGGGCTCGCTGTTGGCACATCTCTACTTCAAGCTCCGATCGGAGCTGCAGTGCTTGTGCGCTCGGGCCTCATCCAAGGACCGTGCCTGGCAATTGCTTCCACAACATACCACGTCTCAGGTCACCACCGACACAGGACGTGTCATTCAGCTGTCCAGAACACCGCCTACTGGACTTGGGTTGTATCCGGCTTAATCCGTGGGGATTCACTTAATTCATGATGACCAATCTGCAGACAAGTCTGAGCTGGCTGAGGGTTTGCCCACATTTCTATGGTGGCACAGACCTTCGGCTTGACATGTTCTTTGTTGGCAAGGCCTGTTCGACAGTATAGGAGCCATGCGACATGAAGATGTGACTGCTACCGTAGTCAAGCTTCCCGATGATCTTAGCACAGGCTGTGTATGTACAACTGGACATGCCCCTGAAGCCAATCTGGGCAGATTGGATCCGGTGGCTCGGCTCCAGAGCATTGCTTTCTCTTCGAATAGCAGATGACAAAAGACCGAGATCGTTTAGCACGAGCAAGCCACGGCAATCTAGCAAAGTGCGATGCACCATCTCCGTTTTGGATGAAAACACTGCAAACAGAGGTCCTGGCGCAGAGATCCCTGGCGGCGAGGAACGGTGTCGGTTCGAGGACATGAACTGCCTCACTGCCTGGCGTCTCCTTGCTGACATCGCGTTGAGGAGACGTGTAGGAGGGTTACACTTCTGAATGGCAAACAAGAGGAGAGCATGGGCTCCTCCAGATCCGGCGAACGAATGGTGAGGCTGTCGTCGCCTACCGCGCCAAGCGGCTACATTTGGGAATGTCTGAGTGATATGCATGCACAGCACAAGCCACCAGATGTTGAACAGACTTTCTTGTAACAGAGATCAGCACAGCTCAAAATGGAAGACATGAGACCATGACATCAACTCACGCTGCCACCCAGGCCATGAGTGAGATGATCGAAGCCAGGAGGACAAAAGGTCTTCGAGCGCTGGCCCCAGTTGACGCTTGCATCTTGCAGAACCTTACGACCCATGCGTTGAGTGTGCCAGAGTGGCGTCAGACATTGTGAGACTGTGCATTTCGGCTTCGGGCCAGGCAGCCTGCCTGGGCCTGGCCGAGATTTTCGGAATCACAGCAAGAGATGATTTGCTACTCCCAGATGAAGAGCTTATCTGGGAGTGGAAGTGTCTCGACTGCAGAAACTGATGTCCATGCCTTTTGAGCCCCAAGCCAACATAATCTGGACCTGCTCAGGTTAAATTGTGTGGGACATTTCACCGACCCGTTTGATTACACCTCCTTGCTGGCTGGCTGCACTGACATGGCTTCTAGCGAAAAAACAACGAGGGCCAAGAGTGGATGATCACGATGCCCAGCAATACCCCAAGGTTGGTGATCACCGACTCCAGGCTCCATGTCGCTCGAGCCCGGTGTCCGAAGCCGCTGAGTTTGCGAGGTCTCCTTTTAGGCCGCAGCATGGGGGGAGGTCTTGGCATTGCGTGTTGGTGTGCCGCTTGTCGCGTGTAGTCATCAAGCCCTTCCGCATAGCGCCATCTCAGCGCAAAACCTCGCCATGCTTTGCGATTGGATGCGTAGAGCAGGTTCACAGTGCACTGAGCTTGTTTGCATTCCCTTGTGAGGCCCGCTGACATTAGGCTTTCGCTGTATGCATCTGCAGGAGACTTGCGAAGTGAGCGATTCATGTATGTAGAAGCCCAAAGTCCTGAAGAATCACGTGGAGAATCTGTGTCTGGATGGCAGTTATGCCCTCAGGAGTGGCTTGGTCATCATGCTGGCCTCACTATCTCCAGCCTGGCGCACAACAGCTTGGAGTCCTATGCCTGGGGCTAAAGCGGGAAGTGTGGTCGACCAGAAGAGCACACACGGGCATATCAGAGGCCACGACGAGATCCCGGGCTCCTCCCTTCTGGCCCGGACTGGGACCTCCAATTGATGGCTTTGGCTTCGTCAGAGCCTCGACATGCCTGGCTTGCCGAGCTGTGCATGGGTGATGTCCGCCGTTCGCGGTGCAGGTTTTTATGCCAAAGTTCACGCAGGTCTACCCTGCAGTGCTCATCTTAGCCGCAACGCTTCCAAGAGCTGCTTTGTGCACAGCAACTCTCTTCCAGCCTCATAGGCGCTCTCTGTGACCCAGAAGCCGACTCCCGGATGCATGCCAGCTTCAGATGCAATTGCAGATGAGCCACAACCGTTAATCTCCATGAAAGAA